TAAAGAACCATCTCCGATGTCTCGGCGAAACCGGCATTTCGGTGCGTCGGTGGCTGCGCTTTCCCTCGGCGTCGCACGACCGCGTCACAGCGTCGACAGTTCAACACCCAACTATACTTCGATTCACTTGACTTCCGCACGCAACCGACTCTACGAGCTCACGGGAACAATCAAAGAGCGTCAAAAGCACACCACCACATTTTCGCTGTGTAAGGCACACAGCCCGGTTTGGTTATGTTACGTTATGTTACGAGAGGTTACGTCTGCTTAGGTCTGTTGTATTTTAATATCGGAGCTTAAAGACAGCTAGACGAAAGATCAGCTGTTCCACCTTCGTCCTCCTCTTACTCCCGTCTTCCTCTTCCACCTCCTTGCGAGCACTTCTTTCCGACCGAAACCAGACACAACATAATCCCCCCTTTAAAAAAAGTTCCCTAAGGGGAAAATCTGTCCGGCGGATTCCTGCTTCTCTTGGACCTTCGTAGAGTTAGGTGAAGTGGTTGTTCCACATCCATAGTCCGTTGCATCCTAAGAACGAAGGGCGAGGGTAAGACGGACCGGGGAGGAGGAAGCAGACGGAACGCTAAAGAGAGAAGGAGGTTTCCCTCTCTCCTCTCCAGCGTTCCGTCTGCTTCCTCCTCCCAGGCCCGTCTTACCCTCGCCCTTCGTTCTTAGGTTGCAACGGACCATAGTGTATCTCCCCCGGGCCCTGTGTTGTCCTCATGTGACTGTGATCCGACTGGAACATATGCTCGCGATAACCGCGACGAATTCCAACATCCTCCTCCAGATGTAACAAGCGTATTTTGGCCGACTGCTTTTTGAATTCATTCGGGTTGTCCGAACGCTGTTGTTCCCTTCGTTTGGTGTGTGGGAAGTTTCACGCGCACATAGTCTCCCACGGTTCCTTTAAAGGGTCTTGCTCTGCGTCTCTCGTCAGTGTACTGCTTGCTCCGTCGCTGGTAATCAGCGATGTTTTGACGGAGCTGCTGCATCTCGATAGGAGCCAGTTTCTCGAAATTTGGAAATCCGACGATGTCCATTTTCGTCCGCATTCGACGTCCATGAAGCGGTTCAGCCGGGGAGAGTTTCGTCGCCGCATGTGGTGTACTCCGGTAGACGCCCAAGAATTCAGTCAGGCTAGTGCGAATGTTGCTTTGTTCTTGTATCGTAGTCTGGACGTACCCTTTTAGAACTCTGTTAAATCTCTCCGCCTGTCCGTTTGCCTGTGGGTGGTAGATGGCAGACCGACGGTGAGAAATTCCTCTTGTGTCCAGGAACTCTCGGAATGTGCTAGACCGGAACTGTGGACCATGATCCGAAACAATCACTTCCGGGTATCCTTCTCGGCTAAAAATCGTAGTTACAAAGTTGAAAACAACTTCAGCCGTTACTCGAGTACAAAAACCGACCTCTGGCCACTTGCTGAAGTAGTCTACTAAAGTAACCGCAAATCTAAATTCTGGAGGAAGTTGGTAAAACGGTCCCACAATGTCGATTCCTAGCTGTTTCCATGCGGCTGATGGGAGTGCCACTGGTTGAAGAGGTGGTACTGCTATAACCGCTGTCTTGTCGTTTGTCTGACATGTGTTACAGTCTTTGATGCAAGCTTCTACTTCAATGTCCATCCTCGGCCACCAGAAGCGCTGACGTAGACGCTGCTTCGTTCTCACAACACCCGAATGTGACTCGTGTGCTAAGTTAATGAGTCTCCGTCGGATTGAAGTAGGTGGCACCAGCACTTCTCCCCGTAGTAGTACGCCGTTCACCCAGGAGAGGTCTTCTCGTAGTTTGTAGTATGGAGACAGTGCTGTGTCTCGTTGCTGTTCGAGACACCATCCCGTTCTGATACACTGTATCACCCGAGGCAAATCAAGGTCTTGTGTCGTTTTACTTTTGACCTTGTCTATCGTAGGTAATTGTGTACCAGGCAAGTGAATTCGTCGTCATCTTCGCATGTCTCGGAGTGGTCGGAACCATTCCGTGCAGGCAGACAAGGTGCGTCTGCCACCACGCTTTCATTCCCCTTCTGATAGTGAATCTCGTAATCGTATTTTAGGAGTCTCATGACCCATCTGGCTATTCTCATCGGTTATCGACCGGTTCCCTGAGTAGAAAGCAGAGTCACTAGAACCTGATGGTCCATCTTGAGTGTGAAACGTTGGCCAAAAAGAAAAACATGCCACTTCTCGATGGCCTAAAGAGATTTGGGCCATCGACCGAAACCAGACACAACAAGGTCGAAAGTCACCGGGAAGTCCGTGCTTCGTATGGAGCGTGGCCACCAATCGAAGGAGTTGATTTTCATCGAAGTACGAAGCGCAGATGTCCCGATGATTCAAAACGTAACGTAGAAAACGTAAGCAAGCACCACTCTGTGAATGAACCTTTACCGCTCATTCACACTGGAAGCGGATCCGCGTTCGCAAAGCGGTTGCGAACGCGGTTGTATAAAGATCCAGTACAATTGCACGCGCACTTCATGTCATGGAGTGCGCGTGCAATTGTACTGGACCTTTATACACGTTTGCAAGAAAGGCTCCTGTGCGCTGCCATTTTGAGCGATGCTGGCGCCCCGTACCGTTTCCGCCATGCTGGGGTGCGCCAGGGGCACGTCATTGGGGTGCGCGATGACAAGATGGTGCCGTTTGCTGCCTCGCCGATGGCTTACGTTAGCGGCACACTTACTGTCTCGGAACGCAGGAGGAGGTATCCACACAGAATCGTAGCGTAACATATTGTAGGACGGGGCATCTTTCAGGGTTGAAGCTGACTTTATAACGATCGCAGCCTCTGTTCCTGCATGTTGTGGAAGCCAGAGCTGCCGCGAGCGCAGCCATCGTTGATGCAAAGGCTTGCGACTTTTGGCGTATTCTGAAGAGAGCGCCTTGAGACTTTAGATCTTTTTGAAAATTTTCGATTTGTTACCGCTTTAGGCATTTTATTTAATATTCCTTGCTGTTTCGCTGATGAAGACGACACGTGTACGTTTTATAATTACTTTTTTTAATTTCTTTCTGCGCTCAGTGGTGTACGTTTCGGCGAGAGACGCTTGGCAACATTGTACGACAACCAGCGAACGTCCTGGCTGGAGAGTAGGTCCGCCTCACCTTGGCGCGCGGTTCGAGGTTAAGCCAGGATTTCACTTGCAAAGGTGTATACAACCGCGTTCGCAACCGCTATGCGAACGCGGATCCGCTTCCAGTGTGAATGAGCGGTTAGGCTGGTTCACAAAGCACCGCTTCTTTACGTCACGAAGATGGCGTACGCTTATGTCGAAGTACAATTGGAAGTCACCGGCACTTTTGTGCTTCGTAAGGAGCATTGCAACAAGTTCGTGGAGTAGCTCGGCACGCGGAATCGGCGACGTGAGCTATCGAAAGCGTCGCTGTGGTCGGCCCATCCCAATTGGCCGAATGCTGACTATGACGTCAGCAAAGGATGTCTCATTGCCGGAATTAAGAGGAATGTAAGAACTTCAGTTTTGACGGTGTTGGCAGTGTTGCTTTGAGAGCTCTATCATTTCAGGCTTCCACTATGCCGATTACAAACACCATCGAACTTGTTGTACACAGGGTAATGACGTCACAAAAGGTAACCAAACGAGGGCGCCACCGAAACATCTCGCCGCTAATACCATGCACAAATGTGCCAGTGACTTCCGGTCGAATTTCGACGTAAGCGTGCGGAAGCTTCGTAACTAAGGTGCCTTTATATGCGCTTTGCTTAGGGTAGTGGCATCTGGCCATTTTGTTCCACACGCTTATTTTTCTTTTTTGTTCAGAAGCTCGTGAAAGAACGTGTCCCTGCAAGCGGTTGTGGCGCTGACTGTGCTCTGGCGCCATATTGTTTTCGTCAATTTCTTTGTATTTTCAACGTGAGCGCGTGCTGTCGGCATCGGGTACTACTAGAGCCACTAAATAAGCTGCGCTTAGAGTATCGGCACTCCGTTCCCCGACATTGTTGTGGGCGCCGCCATTTTGGCTCGTATGCAGAACAGACGCAACGGCCGATCGTCATGATTCAAAAGTGCGACTTCCAAAGCATTAGATTCGGTGTTAGGAAGGTAATGTAATATTGCTTTGCCCTGTCGCGAACGGTTTGAACATTTGTGGAGGGCGGAAAAGCATTTCCTGTGATTTCAGATAAAGCTTCAGATAACTGGCAACCATGATTTTAAGCCACAATATGGCCAAGTGTCGTTATTCTGAAGCGTAGCTTATTTAGTGGCACTAGGTACTACAAAGGGTGGCATTACCCTAAACAGAACGACATTGAGGTACCTTATTCGTAACGTAAGAAAAAGGGTGCTGTGTGAACTAAAATCACTAGATCCTGAGAAAGTAGTGCCAGTTCTTTCCCTGCCTGCAAGCCATACACAAACAAAATACTAACGTAAACACAACCAAACCTCGCAATGCAAGGTAAGGGGCTGATCTGACTCTGTTGCCACGGAAATCGACACTTCCATTCAAATGTTTGAAGTTTCAAAAGGATCGTTCTCAATTAGTCGCGCCAAGTTCGCAATGGAGCACCTACGTACTGAAAGCGTACGTTCCTCGCCAACATAAGTGCCTTTCGCACTGTATATGCAATCGACTTATCAATCATGCTTGTCGCTTCAGATCTCTTACAATGATAGTGCACTTATTGCCTGTTTTAGGAGAGGAAACGTATTTTTCAATTACACGAAGCATCGACACCTCATGTCGGGACTGTACGAAGATGTACACTCGTTTCGTCAGTGTGTGAATAGAAAAATAACGGTATACAAGAAACGTGTCTATAAAGCTACCCATTACTGGCAAATTTTGATCGGCTCACCAAGAATGGAGAAGCCAAAAAGAAATCGCTCATTCCATAAACCAAAATGGCGACCATGCGTGGAGCCTGGCGCTACTTTCCTAGGATCCAGCGACTTTATAGTGTGAACCAGCCTGAGAAAAAATGAACGGAGTGCAATATTTTATATTTAAAAAATGTATTTGGTGACGGCCCACCTCCTGAATCCCGGCTCGAGGGTGATGAGGCAGCTTCTCCTCGAGATACTCCCGTACTGGGACCACAGGGTGTCGGACTCTGCCTTGGCCGGGTGCAGAAAAGGCGCGGCCAGGAGGCAGGGCACCGTCCACACTCCCAGCAGAATGCGCTTGGCCCGGGCCTTGCTCTGTTGCACCCGGGACACGAGCGGGTGCACGATGGCCAGGTACCTGGGAGGACAGAGGACAGGTCAAGGTCCCGCTTAAAGCGAGACTCGACACACCACGAAGTGCTGATTGTTTGCGTCCTTTGCTCTACAACAATAGTCGTAAACAACGGCCTGCGAGACACGAGAGGGATTAAAAAATTATAATCCGCACAAACGTTTGGTTGCCCATGTTGTACAATCTTTTCAGAACCTAACTTTCTCGCGTATCTTCGCATTACCCCGGGACAGTGAATAGGAGGTGCTTCTGCCGACTGATAGCCCGCACGGCTGGTAGCAAAAAGGGGGCAACATTGGGAATGCCTATCCACCGAGCCATTGGACACGAGCACTGCGTCACAGATCAGAAAGGGGCACGGACATTTGACGTCAGAACGCCGAGTTCTGATTGGATAGATTAGGGGGTAGACCTAACGCAAGCTACCTTTCTCTCCATTGCACTCGTCGAACGCCTTAGAACGCGGAACGAAAGGCGTCAGGCGTTCGGCTGTGGCATTCGAACGCCTTCGACGAGTGCAGTGGAGAGAAAGGGAGGTAGCTTTATATCTACCCTCCAGGGCCGTACCCAGAAAAAAATTTCGGGGGGGAGGGGGGGGGGGGGGGTTTCGGGGACAACGGCGGCCATTTTGAAAGTGTCTATTGTCTTATTTTCGCTTATGAATCATGTTCATCGGTAGCATATAATGGAGAGTTACAGCAAACCGGAGAACCGGTCCCGGTTTGGTACCCGGTAGCCGACCGGCGCCACTGCGCGTGCGCAGAGGTGGAGATTAAAATCGGCTGGCTGCCAGTGCACCGACCAGGGCCGTACCCAGAAAAAAATTTCGGGGGGAGGGGGGGGGTCAGAACCCCCTAACCCCCCCCCCCCCCCTGGTTACGGCCCTGCTACCCTCTAATCCTTCCAATCAGAGCTCGGCGTTCCGACGTCTCCGCGCCAATATTTTTTCCCCCTCTCTCTCAGATTCTCAGCGCATAGAACAACATTTTCGAAGCACGAACGTACCACTTCGCAAAAGGGCATTTCAGACAGCGTTGAACAATGTTTTGTTGGGTTCTAAGTTTCCTACTATTCGTGGGGTACTCCGATGCAGGGATGCAGTTATATTCCCATTTACAGCACTAAACGCCATGGTTATTTTTCTTCAAGTTACAGGGCTGGCGCTTGCGCTAGAAGACAACAATGGCGGGCTAACCTCCTTATCATTCACAAGCCGTCCAACATCCCATAATTTTTTTCATGTTCTGATGCGTTTTTATTTCTCTACTGCGGACTAGCCTCCTAGGGTAGCTAGTGCGTGACCGTGCCTATATCCCTCCACTTGCGGGCATTCGTTGTCCGAAGTGACGGAAATCACAAATAACTTGTTGTATAAGAATATTCAACGTCCGATGCATCTTTAATTTTCTTTGTGCTGCGATATATGTTTCATCGTTTTCATCTTCAAATTATGAAGAGCGAATTGTTCACGGGTCTTGGTAAAATCGTTTGTTGTCACCTTGCTCACTGTTCCAGAGGAGACCAAGTTTTCTACTCGGACAATTTCCTTTTAGCTTCTCATTAGTTTCTGGACCAGGTACGTGACCACCGTGATTGGCCCACGGCGGGCTATGCAGCTGCTCAGGAATTTGTTTTATAGTGTAATCGGATGGGATCGTGCCTCTGTCGAACACAACTTTGGAAACACTGCCCCGTCAGATTATTTTTTTCAAAGCTTGGAGAGTCAACAAGGCCCGCGGTGCCGCGTCTAGTGAGGGCGATTATGTGATAATACAATAGACAAGATGAAGACATTATGGCAGTGAATATTACACTATCGCCCCGGCCGAAGTATGGAATTTTACAAAGTACTGAATTTCTGGAAAATAACCAGCAAGGAGACAAATCGACAAATAGAAACAAGCAAAACGAACTAAACAAAAAATCTCCAGAAACTTTGCCGAACCCCGAGGCAGGGCCGATTTTTAACAAAAATAGAAATAAAAAAAAAAAGATTCTCTATTCCTACCAGGCAACTTTGCGATTATTTTTAAACGTCTTTGCATATATAAATCTATTTGTGTTACATGCATATTCATTTCTTTAGCCAATCATTTTTGATAGGTGGCCATATACATATATAGGCTTCTATGTGCGCACTATAATAGATGCTCTGAAGTTTCAATGGTCGTCTATTTTCTATCAGGGCAAGCACATATCGGTACTAACGTACTTCTTACAAACACATGCATATTCAATTTCTTTGTCTACCCCTTTTTAACACGCGCTTACGTAATGCCAGGGTCTGTTTTCAAACTGTTTTACCGTCTTCGAAAATAAATGTCCTATCTTTCAGAAATTGCTCTTTTTTTTCTTTTTTTTTATGTATTCAGTATAGATTACGTGAAAGTTCGCTAAAAACATCCCTTCTAAGCGCACCACGCACATGTTGGCTCAGTACGTACTTCACGCTAGATATTTTTATATATATTTTTTTCAATAATAATAATAATACTTTATTTACTGAAAAGAAATATTTTACACAAGATAGCATACTGGCCCACGAAAGCAGAAATGCTTGTGTGTGGGTCCAGGCAGCCAACAAAACACTGCATGCATCATTACACATAAGGAAGAACTGTGCACTATGCAAACGATTACAACTTTTTATTCACAGGTAACAGCAGAGAGCGTTTGACACCATTCTTTGACTTTTAGTTTTACCACGCGAATGGGTGTTAAATTACTTAAAGTTTCAGGCAACGCGTTAAATAATGCAGGGATGTAATATTTCCTTTCTTTTTTACCATAATTTGTTAGAACTTTCGGCAACACAAATCTCTCTGTACGCCTGAGATTTCTTTTCTTAACCTCGTATTTGAAATCATTTTATAATAATTACTTGCTATTGCTACATATTTATAAAATTGATCGAATGAGAGTATGCCTGGTGCCTTAATTTTTTCTTCCAGTTCTAAGACATCATGGACTGAACCATATGAAACGTTATTCCCAATATGCTTTATGACCCTACCAATTTCCTTTCTTTTGTACCCTGAACAATTCCCGTATATCGTTATTCCATACCGTAAGATTGACTCTCCTAGAGCTTTGAAAATAGACTGCCGTAATTTTACGCAGCATGCACTTTTTAGTTTGTATATATACGCGGATACTAAACGGAGCCTTCTAGGAATATGTACTAACTGCTGTTTCCAAAGTGCGTGCTCAGCAAAAAATATACCTAAATATTTGACTGAAGACTCGTATGGTAATGGCTTGCATCTGCACATTGACTGATCTTGCTCATGAAGGTGGAGATATATGTTTGTCTTAAGTTCAATGCGCTTATGAGGGTTACGGAAACATACTAGCTTAGTTTTTTTGGTATTTAGAGAAATTTCGTTACTCGAGGACCAATCTATTAATAAGTTTATCTCACTCTGAAAAAATATGAACCGCCTGCTCGTAGTCATAATGTGGTAATAATAAAACGGTATCGTCGGCATAGTGAAACATTTTAGACTGAAACGGTATTGATCTTAGGTCGTTTACATAAATATTAAAAAAACAAGGGGCCTAAGGTGCTGCCCTGCGGCACCTTACATTCGATTCTTACTTTTTCACTTGTGTTGTGACTAATTTTGACCAGTTGAAATCGGTTGGTAAAGTAGTTTGTAAAGAATCTGTTAAAAGGACCTCTGAAACTGTGCTTTTCGAGTTTACGTAATAGAATTTTATGGTCTAATGTGCCAAATGTTTTAGATAAATCCACTGTAGATATGCTTTGGAACGAATTCAAAACGGCACGTGTGTCTTATGTTTTATTCCACAACGAAAAACCCTTGGATAACGCGAGAAATCATCCATGTAAAGCGCAAAATAAATAGGCTTCGTAAGAAGGCAAAGAAAGCCAGAACTCCTCTAAATAAGAACAAAATGGCATTACTCAACAGCGATCTCGGACAAAAAATCAAGTCGGCTAAATACAAATTTTTCAATATCACTCTTCAGTCGTTTATTCAATCTTCACCCGTCAAATTCTGGAACTATGTCAACCCAAAAAACTAATCTAGTCTAGAAACGCTCTTCGGTGACAAAGCAAATCTTGCGAAAGCCTTCAATCATTATTTTCTTTCGGTCTTTACAACAGATAATGGTAATGCACCCTCATTCGCGTCCCATTCCCCAGTCTTGGCTGTAAATAACGTTGTAATTACCGAACAGGGTATTTTATCTCTTCTACTCAACCTGAACACAAAACAAAAAGTGCTGGGCCGGACGATATACCAAATGAATTTCTAAAAAGATACGCCGAATGGGTAACAAAATATCTTGTTATAATATTTACACAATCACTTAACAAAGGGCAACTCCTAAAGACTGGAAGTTAGCGAAAGTCATCCCCATTCATAAATCTGGAAACAAAAACGAATTCGCAAACTGAAGGCCCATCTCCCTTACTTCAACTTGCTGTAAATTGCTCGAACACATTGTTCTGAAGCATGTCTCCACCCACATCGAGAATAATCAAATACTTACTCCATATCAGCACGGTTTCAGACGTCACCTTTCAACAGTGACGCAACTTGTTGAAAGCATTCACGATTTTTCCACTGTCATAAACAATAGAGGACAGGTTGACGCCATATTCATCGATCTATCAAAAGCCTTTGACAAGGTATCTCACCCAAAGCTATTGTTTAAGCTAGAATCTATACTAGGAGCAAGAAAAATTCTCAGGTGGATTGAAGACTACCTTTCAGATCGCTACCAGTACGTAGCAATTAATGCGCACTCATCATTCAAAGGCAAAGTTTCATCGGGAGTCCCACAGGGATCAGTACTGGCACCTTTTTTGTTCCTAATATACATAAATGACTTGGTCAAAGATGTGAACGTAAAAATTCGCCTCTTTGCTGATGATTGCATACTTTATTCACAAATAAATAACCCAAATGGCCAGATTAACCTAAATAATGCGCTTCAACACATCATAAATTGGTGCCACGACTGGCAGATGGAAATAAATTCGAATAAAACTGTATTTATGACCATAACCAATAAAAGACAACAATACTCCTTTCCTTACCAGATAAACAATAACCTCTTGGAACAAGTCGGTGAATACAAATACATCGGCCTCAATATAAATCAAAATTTGCGTTGGGACTCACACATTCACTCCACAACTA